CTTTTGCAGTGTTAAGAATGCAGATTCAGTAATTTCTAATTAAAAAAAAAAGTCGCTTCTCGTGCAAAATTTGTGGGCAGAATTACTTTACAACGTCTAAATGCCTCAGTTTCTGCTACATCGTGCACTTTTGCATTGTCATGTGTTTTTATTGCTGTTCTAATGCATGACCATTAGGGTTTTGTTATTATAATACTATTATTGTTATCATCACTATCATTATTGCTATTATTATTTTATCATTAATGCTGTTATCACTATTATTACTTCCGTTTCTGTCTTATTATGCATTTGCGTTAGCGTTTTAAGCCTTAATTTTAATCAGAGTTTGCACTGTAGTGTATTTAATCTAACTTAATACCCAGTGATTGTTTAAATTGACCACTCTTAGGATGAAAAAGCAAAGGACAAAGCGTGAGTGCATAAATTTAAGCTTTAGTTGATTTTAGATAGAAAGAGATGAAATTCATGTTCTTACTAGTTGCTTTGGTATCGATAAGAAAATCTTTGGGTAAGTATGAGATACCATAAAAGTTTAAGAAGCTGCTGTTTCACCACCCTGTACTCCCACCTATTTTGGGATGGCCTGACCATTCTACTCTTTTCTGAACTCATCGCAGTCATGTAACTTTCCTTCAACCCCCCAAATAGGTTCATCTCCATAAAGCCTGTAATAAATATTTGGCACGTACGTGACACCATTTAGCAACCTGTTCTAACTATCTGCTTTCTCATTTGTCTAACATCGCATATGACACCATTCAGTAGCCTGCTTTCTTGCCATCCCCTGTCCCGTTGTGTGATCAGCCTAGCTGTTTTTTCTGACCAGACTGCCATGATGCTATTGTAAGGTGCATTCTCATCAGACATTCTTTCTTCTGCTCTTTGAAGTATGTATGACAAATCATTGGCTATGCGTACCCAGGTGGGCCCGTGCGATCATGCGTTTCTGCGGTATTTCGTGCTGCAGTAAGATCGCTTGGAGCCCCAGCAAGTAGAATTTGGGACAAACTGATGCTCGAAGTTGATGAAGTTAATTGTGCAACTAAGTGGCAATTGGTCAGAGAGCGTCCCCTTGAAATTTCAGTTTTCTAGCTTTTCTGATTCCCGAGTTAGCAATTTTTCGGCCAAAATTTTCATGGGACCGAACGCGACGGAATCACGCATGCCTGGGAGCTGAGTTTAAATTCTTTAAGTTGTGCATGGGCTGGGAACATTCCCTTAAAATTTCAGCCTTCCAGCTTTTCTGATTCTCGAGTCGGTGATTTTCTCACTAAAAATTTTCACAGGGCCGTACGTGGTAATTACGACGCCTAAAGGACTGAATTTGGAATCTTTGAGTTTTATGTGGACGAGGAGGATAACCTCAAAATTTCAGCTTTCTAGCTTTTCTAGTTCCCGAGTTAGCGATTTTCCCGCTAAAAATTTCGCGCGCTCGTACGCAGGGCTCAGACGTGCATGACTGTTGGTACTGCAGTCCTGGCGTGGCACTTGGCCGGTGAACTCACTGGCAAAATTTTGTTGCCGGAACTTGCTTGGTTGTCGAGTTGAAATACTCGGATACACGCACACATTCACATACATACATATACCGGGGTCGTCACAATGTGTTTTTGCATTTGCATGTATGCAAAACACATACTTAGATTCAATCCCGCAGTATGCAAGAAGCGCGAATCTATCAAAGTGCAAGCAGCAGGATGGGCATTGAGGGCCGGAATGCAGTGCATTGTTATAATCCAGCTAATCACTGCCGTGTTCAGAACTCAGTGACTGTCTGAGCTTTACCCGCGCCAGCATGTTTTTCCCTTACCTATAAGGATACTTGTTCTCATTTTCCAAATGAATTGCAAAGAGCAAATCACTATGAAAGAGCAGAACACCCTATAAAGTGTTTAATGTGGTGTTGCAAGATGGACTGGCTTACCGAGCAAACCAGCCGATAAGCAT